AAGTCGAATTTTTGTGCATGCCCTGACAAACGCCAAAAGACCAAATCAATAAAACACGGCATCCACTTGGGAGGGACCCTTCTGAAGGATGCTTGAATGTCACGAAGCAGAAATAATAAAATTTAATCGTCGACGTTCTGAGCATAGAAAGAGTCAGAGAATTTTAGCTCTTATGTCTTCTTTCATTAAAATTCACAGCTGTGCTTAACGTTAAAGACTCTACAATGCCAACAGAAACAAATACAGCCCCTAGGAATATGAGAAGCACTTCATACACATTGTGGCACTACTTGATTTGCAAGTTCAATTTACAATTACTTGTTAACACTTAAATTACGATTTCTTTTGTAAATGTTTGAATCGTTATGATTGCTGTGCATGGGCGGCATAAATACAGTTGTTTTATTTAACCGTGAATACTGAAAGTCATGTCGAACTCTTTTACACACGATGAATCTTGCTAAGCAAATTTTTACGAGGTTTGCCTCAAAATGACCGCCTGGAAGGGGACGTTCGACATTACTAGCAGGGCGTACCGACATATCGTAACCAATGATGAGTGGTCAATCAAACTGAATAAAGCAGAAACACGGTATGAAGAGATCAGTGTCCGTTGTTAATAGATGTAGAGATGTTGGATGTTGTTGTTGAACAGATGGGTATAATAGATGTTGGATTATGTTATCAATAACCGTGTTAAATACAGTTTTATGTAGAAAGTTTTTGCCAGTGAATGTGTGCATTTGTAATAAAGTCTTTATGATCTGATTCCGTTTCTTTTCTTTGGATGATTCGGTTTTATTATATTATGACCAGATGTTCAGCACAGCTTGTTGACCATTATTTTCTCCAAACGGTAGTATTTTTTAAAGTAAGGCAGAAGGTTGAAATGCAAAAGTCCTTATGTTAATTTAAATTTGCGATATTTTGATTGGAAATCTGGCACTTTCCTGGCTGCAGGAAAGTGAATTATTAAATACTAAATTTTCTGAAGAAAGTTTCAGTTCTAATACATCAGTTGTGCACATATCTTCAAACCAGATTAAAACTTTTTCTTGTATTCAGATGTAGAAGCATGCTTCCAGTTAATATTTTGCTTCTGGTCCTCAGGGCTAAACTTTCAGCCTCAGTCGTAATCACTTAGCGTCATTTCTGCTTAAGGGCAACGTTTGATGGCGAAATATGGTTGAACACATTCTTCTAAGCATACGGTCTCGGTAAAGGCCTGTTATGAACTTTGAAATGGTCCTCTAAGAATAGTCTGATAATGCCTTCCCTCCTCTCTGCAATTTTCTCTGATTACAGCGTCCGATTGCATTTATGATTTAGACCGAATTTTATTAGATATTGATCTGGAACTCTTTTTGGCTGTGAGCATAAATTTGGAGAAATTTCGGAGCGAGGAAGAACATCTTTCAACACTGTATAAATGACACAGTTTAACAATGGAATTTACAAGACTTTGAGCAAATCTATGCAGACTGCGTGAGTTGTAAAAGAGCTGAATGAGATGGGAATACAGGTGGAAGCAACATAGGGTGAACA